ACATCAACAAACCTCGTCCTCAAAATCATCTGCCCACCAAGTCTGACGCCTTTGCTGACGCAATTTATGCATGGAATTTACTTACATTCGAGAGGATGATGTCAAGCTGGGTGCTGATTGGCAGGTATAGTCATTAGCCTCCGTCTTTGGAAGGACCAACGTCAGCTCGGCCTTGAGGTTGGGGTGAGCAGACTGTCTGTTGAGTGAGGATTGACAGGTGTGGCATCTACTGCTAGGGAAGCCTGAGGAAGAATTCAGATTACTCGACGATTTCAGTTGACAGACGCTTATGATAAGCCGAATGCTGTGATGCAAATCCGATGGGAATGCAGGTGGATGTCTTGGAGCCCTGTGACTGGTGCAGTTCGTACATGTCTAGGTACAAATGAAGTAAATTACAGTACCGTCTTTAGGAAATCCAACCTCGCTTGAACAATTTTTCTGCACCTCCACCCCTTCAGCTTCAAATTTCTGCCTCCTTCGTTGCTTCTGGTCACTCACCTTGGCAAGGCAGTGCCCAATCCCAATTCCCAACCTCAAACTGTGGGCTAGTCTATTTGATAACAATAACATCAAAACGAACCACGCCATCTCGACAATCGACCTCTTAGGGAATCCAAATCGAGTGACATCAAATTATCTTTAAGTGCACTAAAAGAAGAATATGATTCTTTACTCCACCCTCTCACAATATTAAAAACATAAGCATAAAAGAAGTCAGTTTTAAATTTCGTCAAGGTCAGAAAAGGGGTAGAAGTGTCGCAGACTCGGCCGTTTACAATGAAGGAATGGGATTCGGAGTTGGGAAAGTCTGAGGGAAAGGGTGAAAAGACGGCGGAGCAGCCACATGGGCCACAGGTCCAGGAGAGGAGCCTGACCGCAGCCCAAACTAAGAGGCTGCACCATTCGCACTGCTATTGGAATACTGATTGGGAGGGACCGAAGTCGTGACATACCGAGGACAGCATAGCTCTCTATCCTCGAAAACCATGCCACCCAATTAGTGAGCAGGGCAGTGATGGCAAGAAAGCGGAGACAGATAGGTGTAGGATAAGTGGGGTTTCCTTTACAATCTCCGTCCCCACCGTCCTTTTGTTGTTCCTCAGGAGGGATGGGGACTCGGTAAAAGGGCGAGAGAGCATCGAGTGGAGTCATCCAGAGAACGCCAGTGAGCTGAGGTCCCACCACGACATGGTACCGCATCAGATTGAGCAGAGGTGACAGCGGCGACAGAGCCTGTGTATACACAAAAGCAACAACCTATCGCCATAATCTGAATGCTAAACTTCCACTTCAGGCACACCACACGACCAATAAATCATTTCCTAGGGAAAAGGGAGATTGCAGTTGCCTCAAGCTTGCACTGAGATTCCCAACTAAACCACTTACCATACATCTTGTGCAAGCAACGGAGTCAGAACCCATCACCACAAAAATGACGTGAGCAAATGCATCGTTACATAAAATTCATGCAACCAGAAGACCCACCATGGGATCTAGAAGAACGAGGTTACTGATGTCCTGATTCTTTGCGCAAAAGCGGCAGATATCTAACATCATTCGACCTGAACTGGCTCGCCACGGCGGAATTTGAATGCCGTTCATTGAGAGGTCAACATTTTGCTGTGGAGCAAACCGAAAAGGCCATCGGGTCAGACGAGGAATCCACTTCCACGTTGGGCCAATGTATACGTCTATAGATCTGGTTGAGTTCCAAACTTCAGGTCGGCAATATGGGCATTCCGTTATTGAGGTGTAGAGCATCCTAGCGCTTTTGTAGGTTGCCGAAGAGGCGGAAGAAGGCGCAACTTCACCTTCATTATCTGTCTCAATGGCATAGACATTTTGATCTTCTGAAAGTGAGACTTCACTTTCCACAAGGGAGTTGTCGACAAGACTGGAGAAACTTCTTTGATAAGTCGTTCCTGATAATTCTTCTGATCCCCTGACAACCTCTTCGCAACTCAACGAACGAATGTCGAAGAGACGTCCGATGCCCTCACTCCAACTATCGCCGTCCCCTTTCTCATCCAAAAAACATGTAAAATTTCCTCTAGTGCGGTTGTCCTCGAAAAACAAGCCATCGAACAAAGCATTTACGCCTCTGCCGTCCAAAGCTGACCATGGGCAAAAGTCCTTGGTTAAATCATGCATGACCGTTTCTTCAACTTCAAAAATGTTTCCAAGACTCATAGACGAGCTGTAGCTATCATAGGAGTATTTTGAGAACCGTTCAGTTGCATACCATGGACAACTGCTGGATGTTTGCCTTGATTGCGGGTGTGATTGACATTCCCGTAAAACATCTCCAATGAAGAGATTATCATACTTTGAACCCAAGTCACGTGCATGATGCTCGGTCCCCAAAAATTCAAGATAGTAGAAGACTGTGAAGTTGTTCACTTGGCTGCTATTGATGGGATCCCAAACGAGAATACGTTGTGATTGGATTTTGAGCGGTGTCCAGAAATTCCCAAAAGAAATCCAGGAAAAAGTTTCGTCAGGGTCAAATAAGTGACGAACTTTTGCAAAGGATGGGACGGTATCTGACTCGGTGTTCAAGGATGCGTGTGAATTTGCAATAGCGAACTTCTGAAGCAACACACATGAGTTTTTATCATCAGTCTTATCATAACAATCCGAATAATGCACTTGCACAATCACGATCAGCACAGACCTCATTCACTGATGCCACAGTTTCATCAAATTCGTCCATTTCTTCATCACCTTTGAAATCCGGCTTATCGTTGCCACTAGCTTCCATTTCTGCCTCTTCCAACAACTCGGTCTCCCCCTCCTCTTCCTCCTCTTCACTGGGCAGACAATTGTTAGCGCGAGCCCACTCGACCCATGCGGAGTTGGGTGGGTAGCGCAATCCATTGACTGGGAGACCAGCGAGCAAACGGGCCGATTTCTTGGCCAGATGAACATTATCCAGAGGCACTCCGAAGGGGTGACT